AAATAAGATAACCAACTAGCCATGAGTGCTCTCCCAACTTATCCAGCAGGTAGTCAACATTCATTTAACTCAGAAGTGACCCACTAAGCCTCTGAAATCATGTGGAAAGCGATAGCCATCGAAAACACAGTTGAAAACACGTAAGGAGACGTCACAGCACGACTGGAGCGACCGGTCGTCAGGAATGGGCGACCGGTCGCCAGAAGTTTCCCTCCAGACTTTCAATTCTGCTTCTAAACGACCGGTCGCAAATGTCACGCGATCGGTCGCTCATGCTTCCTGCGACCGGTCGCAAAGAACTGGCAACCGGTCACTCCTTGGTTTAGCTCCAGACCTCGAATCTGCCCATAAGCGACCGGTCGTAACTTCCCAGCGACCGATCGCTTTTAGGCAGTTTCAAATTCTCCCTTTGAGCGCCAAAACCTACTTGTATCCTTTAGGTGAGCCATTTTTCCAACAATTGGTTCATGTATGATAGGTTTTTTTTTTTTTGGGGGGTTGAAAATTAATGATATTGATACTGAAGGTGCCTACTCAGGGGAACCAAAACAATGAACATACTTAGCCAAGTATGACATGGGAATTTATGCATACGTTTAATTAACGAAACTTGAGTTTGAGTAGCTAATGATACCTATTTGTGTGGTTTTGAATGTGGGACGAGCGTTTGTGATACTCTTGCAATCAGTTCATGTATAATACTGAAGGTTTTTTTTTTCTTCGTTGAAAATTAGTGATAATGATACTGAAGGTTAAATCAACTCCTAAGGAGTTAAGGATCCCAAACCACTATTTCAAACAACTTTCAGATGCCTTGGGCAGCATTTTAAGATTTTTTTATGTATGTGAGAGAAAATATTTTAATTTATTTCCCTAGTCTGTACACTCCTTGCTTTTATTAATTATTTCAAAATTGAACTTGAAATACGATGTATTGGTGATGAGAAGTACGTATGAATTGTTTTGTTTTCTATTTTTCTCATCCAATTAATTATTTCTTTTTTACTTCAAAATTGATTTAAAAATCGATTATAATTCAAAAAATTCCCAAAAACTAATGTCAGGATTGGTATGACATTTCCTTCAAGCACATACGTCAAATTTCGCCATTGCATGCAAATTTTGATCCGATCCTTATGTGATCAAACAAACAATAGCTTAGGGTTTACAAAGTGTAGTTATGTTTTCATTTGCATCATTCACATTTAGAGATGACCTCCAAATTTTAATTTTAAAACAATATTAAACCACTTCTTGGACTTGTAATACGAAGTATTGGTGCTGAGAAATACATATGTATTTTTGTTCTTTTTTGTATTTTTTTTTCATTTATTTTAATATTTTAAACAATTTTACAACAAAAAATGATTAAAATATAACAAATATGACATGTGTCAGCACAAGGAGAGCCAAACATCCCATCCACTTCCATGTGTCAGCAAGGGACGCCGCCATCTAGCATCTCATGCAATTAACTATTTCTTTTCACTTCAAATTGATTTAAAATGGTAGAGTTGAGGGGGTAGGGGTTAGGGTTTAGGGTTTAGGGTTTAGAGTTTATGGGCAAAGAGTATTATGGAATCAGCGTTTTCATATGAGAGACTTTTCATATTTTATATATATTATTTTTTATGCTATCAAAACAGAATAACATGGGATGTGTATTAAATAATATTCTGCAATGTGCCGTCTTCAAAAACCAAGTTAATGCTAATACTTCTAACCAAAAAAAAAGAAGAAAAAAGTTAATGCTAATACTATATGCGGTTATGTTTGTGAAGATGTGTTGATCAACCCCAAATGTGGTTGTCTCGACTCTCAATGTTTAAAGGATAAAGAAACCGAAACCAATTCTTATTTTGTTTATGTTTTGTATTTAAACTTATTTTATTTTCTTTCCCCAGTCTTCTATGGATATAGTCGGGACATGCAATCCAGACATTTCATTTTGGGCAATGTCGACTTCTTCAGCCAACACTCAGCCAAAGAGGTGTTAACTGCAGTGTTGAGATGGTCATGTTCATTTCCAAATCTGAAAGGAATATGGGTAGACCATATTGGAAGTGCTTCACCTTATATGTAAGTGTTTGGTCTCCAAAGAAAATTTCTTCCCAAACTGAAAAATGTAATGTATTATGTTGTATTCCGGTTATTTTAGGGAGCCACTAAGTGCAGTGGATATGAATGGGTGACTGCAGCCAACATGCCAAGTGAATCTATCGACCCCGTACTTACATAATCTATACTTCATTAGATTCGTGCACTTGCGGGTATTTTTAATTGGTTGTTTGCACATTAATTTGTGTTCTTTTAGGAATGCAACAAGTGGATATGAATGGGTGACTGCAGCCAACATGCCAAGTGAATCTCACCTTCAACAACCCAACGCTTTGCCCGATGCCAAGGAACTTAAAACATCTGCTGACATAATCCATATAGTGAAAACCATTATAGATATGTTGGTAGTACTGTTAGTTGTATCCGTTGTGAATTTAGCAGTGAATTTCATGAAAATGTAAGAACTGTTTTGACTTTCTTAAAATATGAATTCATTTCAAGTTTCTAATTACAAATAGGAATCCTTTGTTTTCAATAGGCATGCACTTCTTTTGTAAAGTGGCCAATGGGTAAAGAAACACAAACCACTACTTCACCCACCTTTCAGATACATTGGGAAGCGCAATCACGCTTATTTTAATGTTTATAAACCAAAAATATTTTCTTTGGTTTCTCAAGTTTCTTATTAAGCCTCAAGCAACTTTGTGAATTTACCAGTGAATTTCAAAAGAATGGCTAATAAATTCACATTTCACCGTGATCATAACAGTTTTTCATATGTGTTTACACGGTTCGCAATACCTCACAAGTCAACAAATTGTACCTAAACAATTCTTACCAAGAAAATTAAAAACTCAACGACCCAGGCAGTTCAACAATTCCTTCACCCACAATCACATAGCTATATACCGCAGCATACCTGGAACAAGTCTATAGCAAGCTTTAACTGGAATAAATGCATTATGCATGGCCTCATCAGAAATTTTCTGGACCTCAATTACAACGACATCATCAACAAGATTCTAATCATCATCGGCATCATCCTCTTCAATTGACATTTTCCCCTTTCTACAAGGGTTTTCAAAAAAGTTAACAAGGGTCACACAAACCAATGCAGAATCATCCCAGTTTATCTCGGGGGTATATATTCCACCTCTCCCTTCTCATTTTCTACAACATCCTCTGCCCTATCAGCCTCCTCTCTAGCCTCCTCATCTTCATCCTCTCTTTCTAGGCACTCTCTCTAGGCATCAAATCTAAAAGTTATTACAACATTTTCCAAACTACCATTAGTCCTAAAATAGACATCCACCCAATCAAATATATTTTTATCAACTATAGTGTATATATACACTGCACTTGTGTCTCAAACCTGACAAACTAGATTTTCAATCATCCACAAAAGGTCATTAGAATGTAATACATAAATACAAAAATTCTTGAGAATGCACACATGCATGATGGAGTGGATGCACAAATATATCTTTTAGCAGAGTGTGAAACATATAAAAGTACACACACATATTAAATATCTAACATGTATGGTACCTTGAGATATAAATGAGTTCCGAAATGATCAGTGGAAAGTGGATAAATGGACTCTAACCAGCTGGGCCTTGATTTCCTCCTGTATATTTTCCAAGCCAGATTTTAGCTGGTCAACAATGCTTCTTTGTAGAAAAAGCAAATACAAGCCAGTTAGGATGAATTCATGGCACTATGAATGACCTTTTTAGGGAGATATAGATGGCAACATCACTATACATTAAAGTTAGCATAGTTGTCTTCATGCCAGGATGCTAAAGGAGAACAGAAAGTAATGTAAAGATACAGAATTTGATACCCATATCGATACTACTCATACTACAATCAACGCATTAAGATGCGAATATGATACCATACTACAATCAACACATTAAGATGCTAATATGATACCCAAATCCATACTACTCATCTATTAGCAAGATACAAAACGGATACCCATATCCATACTACTCACCTATTAGCTAGATACAAAATGGATACCAATATCCACACTACTCACATTATTATCAACACATTCAGATACGTAATCTGATACCCATGTCCATAATACTCACAATATGATCAACACATACCCATATCGATGCTACTCACACTAATAAAAACACACCCATATACATAAACTCCATTGCTTCTAATATTCCATTAGGGTTCCAAAACATCCGGTTTGTTAAGGGTTCTAAAAATACAATAAAAAAATTACATAGAATATAATCTTTTTAAAAAAAAAATTAGCGATAAAATTGATGAGAGGAAGAGTTACAACAGGTCGGCAGATAGAATATAATCTTAAGAGTTCTTAAATTTCGAATTCGCTGCAGTTCACTTACCACATAACTAGCTGATGATTCTTTGAAAGATAAGAAGTCAATTTGGGAGAAGTTCAGAGATGTAGATGTCGGGACCGCTAATTTTGGACAAACCGCTGATGATTCTTTGATATCACAGGCAACACTCGATTAGGGAGGATGAAGGAAGGAATGCGCGACTGGAAAGGGTTTTGATATCAGAGGCAACACTCGATCACGGAGAAGTTGAGAAATGGAGTTATGAGATTTTGGATTGTAATATTTTGCACAAATGAAAACAAAATTTTCTTTAATCTAGTTTTTGGGTGGAGTTATGAGCTTTTGGGTATTTGGGTTGTCAGATTTTGGTTATAATTCAAAAAATAATTAATGGCGGAAGGAAGGAAGAAGAAAAGGCGTGAGTGGAAAATGAGAAATTGCAGCGTACCCGATTCTAGTGTGAGCTTGCTTTTCTCCCCAACTGTTAAGATCACTTAAATGGCTGAGATGGAGCCGCGAGAAGAGGTTTGCAAAAAGAAGTTCCCACCTGAGCCTATGGCTATATAAATATACTAGGTGCTATCAGTTACCAAATAAATAAATAAATGTACTAGTGCTATCTTTCTCTAGCCCATACATTTGTTTTTTTTTAATTTGCAATACCCATGTTCTCTCTCTTTTTCTTCCTTTTTCTTTTGTTTTTTCAGTTTTCTCTTGTTTTTTCTTCATTTCTCCTCCTTTTTTTTTTTTTTCTGCGTTTATCTTTTTCCTCTCACTACTGAAATCTCCACCCTTAAGGAATTCGTCCTTGAGTCATGATTTCATCTTACAAGACCTCTCTCAACACAAAGAGAAATCTGTCATCTAAGATAGAAAGAATTAGAAACTGATTGACAAGAGAAAATATAAATGAAAAGAAAAGAGAGTTTTAATGGTATTTATTATCAAATAACTTTTGCATGTGATAATAATAATATAAAATATCACAAAAATGCTTATATGTTGTAAATGGGGACAGGGCACTAGGTGAAAGTGAAAGCAAAATTTATAGAGAAGTTGAAGACTTTGTTATGAGCCTATCGGCTAGGTATAACGATGTATTAAAGGGTATGGTTGGAGTCATTACTGCTAAGAAGAAATGAGTCGGTGCATTATGTTTATAAATGAACGCAGTGTATTTGAGATGTATCATAAAAGTATTTACAATTCTTTATATAATTTAGTACTCTACTCTATTCTCTCTATAAATAATAATCCAAACCAAAATAAGATGGAGGGAAAATTTGTAACTTGGGCCTGGTTGGGTTTGTAGTACTTAAAAAAGAAAAAGGGTTTTTATCACATATCCAATAATAAAATGCCACGTGGATTTGGAGGGAGGGGTTGAGTTTTTTTCTCTTTCTAAAATTTTTTATAAAGATTTTAAATGTTAAACTTTTTAAAAATATATATTTTTTATTTCGATCCACTTGGCATTTTCTCATTGGCTATGTGAGCACCACATATGTGCCATGTCAGCAATTTAACAAAAAATTTTAATTGAATCTCACGGCGGGATTAAATTGATGTGTAACATAAAAGACCAATAATGTCAAAAAAAAAAAATAAAGGACCAAATGTGTTAATTTCACAAATCTCAGGCAACATTTGTGATAAAAACCACAAACAAAGAAAAATAAAACAAAAAAACCAAAATCAAACCTTGTAGGGAAATCCACGTACATACTCACAAACCAGAAATTTTAATCAAACTTAAATGAGGCAACTTGAACTCTGCTGGATGGTAAGACTTGGCTACCCGCACAAAAAACCCCAATATCGGATCTTGCTTCTTCAACTTAAATGAGGCTTTCATATTGCCCTTCAAGTGATAAAAGCAAATACCATGTGCTGCCTGAGGAAAAACTCTTTTCAACCCATTTTCTATGCTAAGATTTCGATCAGATATGACAACAAGATTCAAGCAATCACCAATTGCACAATGTAGTTTTGTGAAAAACCACTCCCAAGCTGCATCCGTCTCCAAATCTCCAATCCCAAAGGCAAGAGGATATATATTATGATTTCCGTCAAATGTAGTGGCAACAAACAAAACACCTTTGTACTTGCACTTCAAATGGGTAGCATCAATAGAAATCACAGGAAGCATTGAGGACTTAAATCCTCTTATGCATGCACCAATTCACATAAAAAAAATATAAAAAGTGGTTGGCTGCATCAGTCTCAATGTATGTCAAAGTTCCAGGATTTGTATGCTCCAATTCATAACAATAGGAAGAGAGAAGAGCATATGACTCTTTTGCAGACCCTCTAATTATCTTTAAAGCTAACTCTCGGCTTCTCCAAGCTTTATAGTAGCTTGTGGTCACATCAAAATTTTGTCGCACATCTTTGATATATATATATATATCACCTACAGTATAAATGGTGCGGGAATCCTTAAATCTGTGTTTCGCAGAGTCAGACAACAATCTAGTACTAGCTTGAGGATGGTGACTACTAAGATACCTTAGATCACATTCATGAAATAGATCGTATTTAACAACCCTAAACTCATGTAATCCAACTTTATATGCCCGAAGTCACCAAGGGCAAGGAAGTTGCCAACAACGAACACACAACCTACGTTTCCTAGATTGGACTGTTCTAAATCGAAAGTGGCCTTTGATTGCTGCTAAACAAAAGGTATTTATAAGGGTAAACTTATTTGGAAAAACTCGTCCAAACTTAAAATTTGCTTCCCAATTTATGCAAGAAAGACCTCCACCATAATCAATATCTTCCACACTCTTATCATGCACCAAATGAGCCTGGCTTGTATGCATTTGAGTCCAACTTGATTGTTACGGAGTTTCATATTGCACTTGTGTAACTTGCACCGTGGAGGCTTGGAAATTGCTTTCTCGATGAGGATGCACGTTTGGAGTAGAGTACGCTTCCTCTTCGTTGCTAGGTACATAAAAATATGCAACTATGTTTTCAACACATTCAAAATTAACGTCTTCAACCCAATCTTTCTAATTAAAACCAGTTACACCATTTTCAGTTCCGCTATCCCCAATTACCTTATTCCTATCTCTCACAACAACTGCAGGGGGAGCATTGCTACTCCCAACGCTTACAATGCCATTGCAGCCTTGAATACCATGTCTTTCTATAATTTTGAGGGTTGCTAATAAAGGGGTTACTTTAGAGGTCATAACATCTGTGTTGTACTTCAGAAAATATTGAACGTCATCATTGTCTTCAACCTTTATGTGCTTATAGGCAGATGATGATAGAGGAACAGAATACTTCAGTGTGATAATGTATTTGTTGCGATCTGCATTCGTGATATTATAAATGCGGTCAACAAGCTCAGAAAATGTTACGTTCCGTGATACTATTATGCCTTTAGCCTCACCACCTTCATAACTCTTAATATTATCCTTGTGACCCAGCTTTCATTGTAGAATACCAACCACCTTCATAACTCTTAATATTATCCTTGTGACCCAGCTTTCATTGTAGAATACCAATATTCCAACAGTATCTATTTCTACAAATAACATCAATAAATCAATCTATTTGCATCCCCATCATAAGGTATACTCATTTCTTTACATTACCAAATTGGAAATCAAAACAGAAAAACTAAAGTTCTTAGCAAAACTAACCTAACCCAGAATGTCAATCAAATCCAATTCAAAGACCTAAAATTTCACACTTAAGCTTCTAAATTGAGGGAAAAACTGACCTAACTAACCTATTTCTATGCTAGACAAAATTAAGATATGATTTTTACGTTTCGTGTTATTTTGGGCAAAATGCTTTACGGGTATTGAAGAAGGGGACAAATAGCTTAAAACTCAAAATTACAAACAAGGGTTGCATACCATCAAATTTATTGGCATATAGCCACGCACTGGTCTTGAAGCAGCCTATAAAATATCACAATTTCAAATTTTTCTTCACGTTTTTTATATTAATCAAATAACACAAGCCATATTTGGATAAGTTCAGCAATTCTAGGATTACCCTACTTATCTTAATTGAACACTTGGGCTTTATTGTTCTTACACTTCTATTTTTTTTATGGCTTAGCCAATTGGAGAATTAAGTGTGAAGAAGTGGTTGGTGGTTGGATTGATAACATATATAATAATAGTCATACTGGATTTTGCCAGTTGCAGAGAAGGGGAAAAGGAAAAGGAAAAGTGATTGAAGACATAGAGTTACCGCAAAAGCAATTTGAGGAACTAGAAAAGAGAGACCTGGTAGCAATAGGAGTCGCAGGTTGGTGCTGTCGCTGCTTCTTTTCTTTTCCTTTTGTTTGTTCCCTATGTACGGTATTGGGGGCGTCGTTTCAACAATTGAGGTGGTGGTCAAAGCTTCTTCTAGTTGAGGTTTAGATAATCGTCAAATAACTTGGTCAGATGCTCTCCAGTTTTTCCTTAGTTCGACAGCGGAGAGGAATTGGGAGAGGTCGGTTTCAGATTATGAGAATGAATTTTTTAGGGGATAAAGAGTGGATATTGATGTATTTATGTTGAGGGCAATTTAGTACTTTTGTGCTGGAAAGTGAATATTTGTGGTTAAAATTTGTAAGGTGAGTATTTTTTATTAAAGTTTGTATTCAGTGAGTATGTAAGTCAATTTCCCAAATAATAATCCAAACCAAAATAAGATGGAGGGAAAATTTGTAACTTGAGCCTGGGTAGGTTTATAGTACTTTAAAAAAAAAAAAAAAAAACTTTTAACCGAAAAGCCCAAAAGCTGAGGGGCAGACTTCAATCACTCAGCAAAGTAGAGAGCAGACAGCAATGGAGTCTCAGGTGAGTTGTGCACTCTTTCTTTCGCCTTATGGATTGCCTTCACTTTCCCAACACTGAATAAATTTTTTCGCGTTTCTCAGAAACCAAGTTTCGAACCGTTTCGGCTGTTTTCATCATCAGGGTCTGGATTTCTTGAACAATCAGAGCCCCCTCTTCCCCCTCTTCCCCCTCCGCCTCCTTGCGTCGAAGTGTTGCCCTCCGAGGTATTTAATTAATTGGTTTATTTTGCAAATTCAAGCACACGCCTACATAAGTTTCGAGATATGATACTGAACAATTGATTGATTTTAATGTGGAATAGATTTTGCCCTCTGTGAAGTACACTGTGGAGCCAGTGGAGTTGGGTGGACTTACTTTGCTCAAGGTCACTCCTTTCTTTTTCATTTCTATTTGGTTTCCCAGAAAATGGAGCATAGTAAAGAAGAGCTATATAAACGAATATAAAATTTCATTGTTATCTCTGTACTTTCGTTCACCGGTAAACGAGTTTTAGAGGTGGGCGTCCTAATATTTTCAGGTGAATGTATACTGTCCCGTAATGCATACACATGTTAACATTCTTCATGTTACTTTGCGTGGTAGTCTAATGTTCAAGTGTAAATGAGTTGACTTTTATTCGTAAGTGAAATGAGACATACGGTTCTTTACCTTGAAGTCCTTACAAAGAGAAACTAGTTTGGCTTCTGGTCGCATTCCTGCTTACTTCATTCAGATTGTAGGGTTTCCTCACTAAGTATTACTCCATTAATTTCATTTTCACACATCGTAGAGGGGAACTCTTGAAATCTCTACGTGCCTTTTAATTGTTACTAACAGATGGCCAACTTTTTGGGGCTCTTATATCCTAGCTTGGAACATTCAATTAAGTAAAGAATGCTAACTGCAATCTCTTTGTGATACATTAACAAATGGTTTTAGGAGAAATAGCCTGAACACTTTAACCTCTGTTAGAGATAACACTATGTTCTGTTGGATTAGATGGAAGTTATGTTTGTTGGAGTCTTTTTTATGGGCTCTAACATATAACTTCTGAAGAAGTTGCACCCCTTCATTTGAATGAATATATCTATTCACATCTGCAGACACATCATTTAATTAGGTGTTAATTGGTGCACCTCCGCAAGTCATTCATGAAGCTACATCGTCATTGATCAATAATCAGCATATAACTCATATATCACTACTACTACAAGTGATTATCTCTGATGAGTGATTGCCTGGTTGGCATAGAAATTGAGGCCACTGTCTTTTATCTCGTTCTCCCATTTCTCACTATGCCTTACTGTGTTTCCTATCATGATTTGCCACTGTCTTTTATCTCCTTCTCCCATTTCTCACTATGTCTTACTGTGTTTCCTATCATGATTTTTCAGCTTGGTTGTGGTCATGGACTTCCTGGTATCTTTGCTTGCCTTGAGGTGAGTTTTTGTTTCTTAAGCTTGTACATTTGGTTTCATATATTAGATTTCTTAAGATTCTTCATTGTTGCTTCAGGGTGCAGCTGCCATTCATTTCCAGGACTTCAATGCGGAGGTCCTGCAGTGTCTCACCATACCTAATGTAAATTCAAATGTTCCAAGCTTCCAACGCCCAGCACTGCAAGTTACAAAGTGTGATGCGGGGACGGAAATTCGTTTTTTTGCTGGCGACTGGCGTGAAATCCATAAGCTTCTTCCCTATGCACAAAGCATTGAGAAGGATCTTAATGTTAGTACAGGGAAAGGTCTAGATGCTCAGTATGATATTATTTTAATGGGAGAGACAGTTTACTCAATCTCTGCTCTCCCACATCTCTATGAACTCATAAAGAAGGTATTTCTTATTTAGTTTGTCATTATTTATGATTCAGAAATGTGAACTTGCAGCTGCTGTAGGTCTGATAATGTTTAATTTACAGGCTGCCAAGAAGCATTATTTTGGAGTCGGTGGGGGAACTCGAAGGTTCCTATCTATTGTCGAGAAAGATGGTAAGCTAATCTGAATTATCTATCAAACCACTTAGAACCTATCTTGCCACAGAAGTAGTCTCTTATTTGTTTTCTACCCTATTCCTTTGGTTCATGGGATTGGGTTCAAGGGATAGGAACAAGTTACAGTATACCACATTCATGTATGAGCAGTGTTTTGTCATTGTAATTAAAATATTCATGTTTCCTCTACGAATAGGCATTTTGGATGCCTTAAAGATGTGGCAATGTGGTTATTGACTGTTGTCAAGTAATTTATATCTATACATTATTGTTTTTGGAAGTAGGCCTCTCTTCTTATAGAGTCCACATCACCATCCTTGTCTCAGAGTGATATCTTTACAGATGCTTAAATAAGAAATTTGAAATATTTTTTATTGGAATTCCTTTATGGTCATGGCTTCTAGCATGGTCGCTGAAGTTGCAGATGGTTCTTCTAATGTCCAAGAGGTACGGAAGCTTTCGTTTACGCAGGCATGGAATTCATGTGGATGAAACACTGTCCTTATTTTTCAATTCATGTGGAATTCATTTGGCCACTTACCTCCTATATGAAGAATCAAATATTGTAATCGAAATTAGAAGAAGCAAATGTTACAGTTGTTAGGCTATATTCAGACAAGAAGGATGTAGGGAATATTTGGTCATTAGATAATTTCCCTCCTCTAAACCTCTTTTATTTTTCTTTTGATTTACTGTGTCCTATGTAATGCAAATCCTTACTTTTTCAGTCCAAAAATAGAAGTTTTTCTTTAATTATTTATATTTAGTTGAAATTTTTTTTTATGGGTTCATCGTTCTTGTTTCTTTCATTATTGTCGCCGATAAATTATAATTTGGCTGGATGCTGAATTTGTGGTGTTGCAATTTTCATTGAATATAGGTATTGTAACACTGAAATGACAACTAATATCGCTCTGATGTGACAATATAACATTATGCCGAATCGTAAATTCTTGATATCTCTTCATTCTTGAACTCGCACTATGAACTAAGAGCAGTATAAAGATTTGGATGTGGTTGAAAGTTCATGGGAGAGTTGGTACCTGTGAAAAGGATCCTGTTCTTGTTTATGGATCCATCGGTGAGATTAAGAATATTGAATGTATTTTCAGCACCAAGGATCCTATACTTGTTTGAAACCACTTCATTTCACTAATATTGCATGGTCATACAAGTTTAGAATCCAATGACATAGTTAGCAGTTAAAAGATTTAACAGGATTCTAGCAGTCGAATGGGGAACTATTCTGCAGATACAACATGCCTTTTAGGACGCAAACCTCTCAAAGCTTTTAGGGTTTCCATATCAGGCATCTGCCCTTGTTCGATCATTTCCTCAATGAGCCTCAAAGCTTCACCTATCCTTTTAGCTTTCATATAGGCGTTGACCAAGGCTTTATAGCAAGAAGCTATATCAGGGGCATTATCCTTTATCACCATTAAATCAATGACCTTCTTTGCCTTATCCAATTTGCCACGAAAACAATAACTATCAATTAGCATACTGCAAGTTATTTTGCTCAGCTCCATACCATATTTACCTTTGGCCTCAACTACTTTATGAGCCTCCTCTGGCATCCCTCCTTGGAAGAGAGCATCCAAAAGTATTGTCAAAGTTATGATATCAGGTAAGACTCCCTGACCTACCATTTCATCAAACAACCTTGTGGCTTCAGCCCATTGATCTGTAAGGCACATGCCATAAATTAGAGAGTTGTAAGTGACAATGTTAAGTCTCATACCTCTTTGGGACATTAGCTCCAACACGGAGAGCGCTTCCTCGGTCCGTCTCTCCTTGCAAAGAGCATGTATTACAGTGTTAAAGGTTACAACATCTGGTGCAATTCCTTCATCCAGCATTCTTTTAAACAACCTTGTGGCTTCTTTCCATTGCGCAGAACGGCAGAGTCTATTAATTAAGGAGTTGTAGGTGACGAGAGCAGGCTTTACACCTCTACGGAACATTTCTTCCACAAGGTTAAGTGCCTCTGCCGTCTTCCCTTCCTTGCACAAAGCATCCAACACAGAAGTGAATGTAACAATATTAGGGAAGGCGCCACAATCAATCATGTTTCTAAATAGCAGCACAGCTTCTTCCCACTTACCAGACTTGCATGCTGCAGAAATTAAGGAATTGAAAGTGACAACATCAGGCTTTAGGCCTTTGTTTTTCATTTTTTCAAACAGAGCAAGTGCTCGTGTCCAAAGACCCATGTTGCATAATCCATAAATTAATGAAGTGTAACTGACGATATCCGGCGCAACACTTTTGTTGATCATATCTCGAAATAGGGTCAGCGCCTCATCTATTCTTCTTTCTTTGCATAAGCGGTCAATGATTGGATTATAGCATTGCGGATCAGGCTTAAACCTTCCATCTTCATACATTTGCGCGAGTATCTCAAGGGCCATACATGTTTTCCCAGCTCTGCACAACCCATTAATTATAGTAGCGTAAGTGATTTCACTGCATACTAATCCTTTCTCTTCTATTTTCCGGAGTAACTCCATTGCCTCAGAGAGCGACCTATACTTGCAAACCCCATGAAGCAAAGCATTCAAAGTATGAGCACTGGGCTGAAGACCATGTTTAAGGATAGTTGCTAAAACAGAGAAACCCAAGTCCACCCGCTTCATACGGCACAAGCAATTGATGACAACACTCAGTGTATCGACTTCCGGGTGTAAGCCAACACAAGCCAGCATCTGTTTATACATAGAAACTACAGTGGAACACTGATTCATCTTGGAGAGTGCCCCAAACAAATGATTAATAGCCCAAATCGAGGGAATGGGTTTCATTTGAATTACGGAATCGAAGTGACCCAGTGCTTCATCTAACCCAAGATTACCAGATTTACAACGCGTTTTTACCAAATCTTCCAAATCAATGGTTTCCTTAACACTAACAGTATGACAACGATTGACAGGAAAAGAGCAAAACTGGCTTCTGAAGAAGACGAGCCCAAACAGAGAATAGAGAGAAGAAGGATTACCCTTTTGGAGAAGCGTGAGCCCTGGAGCTCTTTTCGCCATAATTTTCGTCATCATCGACCAACTCCTAACGCAGAGCAAGCAATTCACTAGCAGTGCTCTCTCAGAGAGTAGAAAGTGCGAGGGTTTTTTTGTTTTTGTTTTTGTTTTTAGGGTTATTGATCCCAATGTTCCCCTAACTATTGCTCAGTATCATTTTGGTCCACGAACTATATTTTTCATTTGAAATGTCCTTCAATTTTTTTATTTTTATTTTTTGTATTAAGATGGTCATACCGTTAAAGTCAGTCAAATATAAATGTCTCTATGAATTAAAATAGTAATATATAATTACAAATTAAAGGAAACTATTATAAAACATAGAAAATTTTAAAAAATTGAATCTCACCAGCCACATGGCTTTTTTTGTTCGTGAGACTGACCTAAGAATTAATAATAAAAAATTCACTATTGTTTAAATTAATTAAAAAAATTAAAATCAGATAAATACAAAAATAAATAACACTAAAATTGACAGACCTTGACAGTAGGACCATCTTAATAGAAAAAAGGGTTAATTACTCAAATGGTCCCCAAACTTGTACGCGATTTACATTTTGAGGTCTGAATTAAATTTTTCGTTCAAATGGTCCATCAACTCTATATTAATTACTCAAATGGTCCCACCGTTACATTCTGTCAATATTTCCGTTAAATATGAGGGCAAATTGGTCATTATTTACCCTAAAATTTGGTTAAATTATTGACAGAATGTAACGGTGGGACCATTTGAGTAATTAATATAGAGTTGATGGACCATTTGAACGAAAAATTTAATTCAGACCTCAAAATGTAAATCGCGTACAAGTTTGGGGACCATTTGAGTAATTAACCCTTTTTTCTATTAAGATGGTCCTACTGTCAAGGTCTGTCAATTTTAGTGTTATTTATTTTTGTATTTATCTGATTTTAATTTTTTTAATTAATTTAAACAATAGAGAAAAAAATTATTACTTTTTAAGTCCATGTCAGCAAAAAAAAGCCATGTTGGTAGTGAGATTTAATTTTTTCAATTTTAAAATTAGGTACAAGTTCCTATAATAGTTTCCTTTAATTTTTAGTTATTGTTTACTCTTTTAAAAAAATTGTTATTTTATTTTTATATTAATGTGATTTTAATTTTTTTAATTAATTTAAACAATAGTGAATTTTTTATTATTAATTCTTAGGTCAGTCTCACGAACAAAAAAAGCCATGTGGCTGGTGAGATTCAATTTTTTAAAATTTTCTATGTTTTATAATAGTTTCCTTTAATTTGTAATTATATATTACTATTTTAATTCATAGAGACATTTTCACCCCTCAATTTAACAATAAAATTGACAAATTTTAACGGTAGAACCATCTTGATATGAAAAAAATAGTTGAAGGACGGTTCAAATGAAAATTTTTGTTGGTAGACCAAAATGATACTAGAGCAATAGTTGAAGGACCATTAGGATCAATAAATAAAAAATTTTGTTCGAAAGGAATGAAATGTCGTTGCCAAAACAAAGATACAACTTAGAGCACTTCCATCCTAATGGACAAGGGCAAGGCAAGAATGAGACAAGGGCTGTCAGTATTCACGTGAACAATGGCAGTCCTTGCAATTTTGTTTCTATCTCTATGGGCAATGGCAAGGGCAAGGGCGGAACCAGGAATTTTTTAACGGGTGGGCTAGCTAAAGTTATTAGCTTAAAATCTAATGCTCTTTTTATTTTATTTTTATACTTACAATTTCTATATTTTTCTAGAAATAAAAGTATATATTAAATCATATAAACCACGCACATAGGGTGACACCACAATAGAAAAGTGGATCAAACTCTCCCTCTCTCCCCCAAGTGCACTCGGGTTCAATTCGCTAGTTCATAACTCCTTTGACTAAAGTTATTAGCCATCAAATCCAATTTTTATACATATTATTTGACATCTCCATTGGAGGTGCTCTTAACTGAGCAAACAAATTAAATATAAGATGATTGTAGGCCTATAGGTTGAGTGGACAAGGGGTTATTAGGCTACATTTGGGTGGACTACTAATCTTTTATAGAGTGAAATCACATAAAAATACATATAATATTTTAAAATATTTTTTAAAGGCTACCTGGGCTAGAGCCCATGGTAGCCTTATTGCTAGTTCCGCCCATGGGCAAGGGTAATTACTACTCACTTTAATTTATTTTATATTTTTTTTACTTAAACGATTAATTTTGATAAGATTTTTGGTTGCCACGTGTCACTATTTATTATAAAATTCTCATCTCAAATTTGGGATAAATTTTCGGATAAGATTTCTTATAAAATTTTAGGATAAGATTTTCGGTTGCAACATATCCAATATTATTATAACATTCATATCTCAAATTTCAGATAAAATCTTCACCCTCTTAAATTGCGTCGCGTGGCATCTCTATCTTCTAAATCCCTTTATAAAACTACATCCTCAACTCAGACATCTCGCACCATATCCTCTATATCCTTTCATTTCTCATATAACACATTTTACTCTCAATGTCTAACCTGAGGAGGGTGTTGGAGAGGCAAGAGCGAGAAGATGAAGAAATCAGCCGCAAACGTGCTGAAGAAGATCGTGAGTTGGATGAAAATGAGGATGAAGTTGTTTTAACGGTGGGTATGCTCAATCAATCAAGGCAATACCACCAGGGTCGTGTCCCGAACGTGGACAGACATAGACACTCTCAGGATAAGAATCTCTTGGAAGATTACTTTATCCCAAATTCGTTGCATCATATTTCTTCTTTTCAAGGAAGATATAGAATGTAACCCTATTTGTTCAAAAAAAAAAAAAATTCATGCATGATGTTTGCAATGACGACACATACTTTATTCTGAAGTACGATGCTAATGGTATTATGGGTCTTCTTCCGGAGCAAAAACTTACAGGTGCTTTACAAATGCTTGTGGGGCATCTGCAGACCAGGTGGATGAAATTGCTAGGCTGGGGAAATCAACTATCCTAGAGTGTTTGGTCAGATTCTATGATGCAATAGAAACTCTCTACATGAGGGATTACTTTCGCAAACCTACACCTAGGGACCTCCAAAGGCTTCTACAAAAGCTGAGGCTCGAGGTTTCCCAGGCATGATTGGAAGCATCGACTGCATGCACTAGTAGTGAAAGAATTAATATTGCTCAACTGCCTGGCAAGAAGATTATGGGAATAGAAAAGGCCAATAAAGTATCATTCTGGAGGCCGTTGCGTCTTTTGATACCTGGGTTTGGCATGCCTTTTGGGAATTGCGGGATCTCAAAACGACCTCAACGTGCTTGGTCAATCCCTTGTATTCAACAATGTGTTGAGGGGTCATACCCCCCAGATCACGTATCAAATCAACAATACTGTACACTCGGGTGGGTACTACCAACCTGATGAAATTTATCATAGGTGGACGACATTTATCAAAACAATTTTGAATCCCCAATTGGAGAAGGAAAAAAGCTTTGCTGCCTTTCAAGAGGGTTATAGGAAAGATGTGGAAAGATGTTTTGGTATTCTGCAAGCTCGTTGGGCAATTTATTAAGGGTGTTGTAATATGTTTGATGAAGAGGTACTTCGGAAGATTATGATGACTTGCATCATCCTCCATAACATGATTGTGGAGGATGAGTATGATTATGATGCCCCTGAGATGTTCGAACCTGATCCCATGAACACGGCATTGATAAGAATTTATGAATGGCCCGTGGGAGCAAATGGACAACCATTGAAGCACAAATCGTTAATTAGAGACGATCGATACAACAATCGTATGATTGACCGTTATATGGAAATGCAATCTTCTTATATTCACAAGAGACGTCAAGTTGACTTTATCGAGACTTATGGGCGATGAAAGACAATCACGGTGGATGAAGTCAAGTTTAATGCTTTGTTTCAACTTATACTTTGCCTTTAACAATGGTAAATTATGCTTTGTTTATACTTTGTATTACGTGTGGTTTGTAATGAATTAAGATTTGTTTTTATGTATGAAATGTTTGTAATAAATAGTTATATTATTTAATGCTTTCTTTATTCAATAAAAGAGAAACAATGCAACAAATTAATACATATGGCAACTCTTTCAATACAACCTAATGGTTTTGATCATTTAACCAATCTATGTTGCTAGGTCCATCGTCATGGAAAAGCTTTCTTCTCATAACATCCCTTCATTTTAGCTTCAAATAGGGCTTTGTTTCAGGAGACATATGGCTCGTATGTATGGCCATGATTTTCATCTCTTTGTCCTCCATGTCTTCTTGTTGTGCATGCGCTCTTTCTGTTGCATATGCTTCATATCGTACCTTGTCAACTTCATCTCTTTTCAAGTCTCTCTCAATTCTCAGCGCGCTGTTGATAGCAATTTGCTGCAAAAAAAAATTGCACATTCAATGTTCGAATTTCTAGAAAAAATTTCCAGAATTTTTTGATATTTTTAAAGATTTTTGTTTTCAATTTTTTTTAGCCAAAAAATGGGAAGCTATTTGATTGAAAGAGATTTTCGGATTGGAGCCTCCAGGAGAAGCCAGTGACTTGTAGCCGTTAGTTTCTGGCAGCGTTGACGTCAGCTGCCCGAAGGCAAGACGACGGGCCAGATCTCCCCATGGGCTTGCCCAGGCTCGTGGGTCCCATGCCTTGCCCAGCTTGAGTCTTCCGCACTGGAGCTGCCTTCCTGGCCTAGGGCCCCCTCCTGCCTGGGCTAACCCATTGCGCTGGAGCTTCTCTTACAAGGAACCCAAATACGAAAAAATAGAAAAAAGAAAAACAAGGCTCAAACATAACAAAACAAAACTCAACCTAAAATACCAAAATAGGAGGCCCGAAACAACAAAAGTCACGGAATACAAAAACCCCAACACCTAACCCTAAACAAAAACCAAGCCGTTGTCGCCATCGCCAGATCAGCTGCCACCGCTACAAGAAGAGTAAGTGAGAGGTTTTAGTTGCTTCAATTTTAGGGAAGAGCATTCATTTTTTCATTGGTTCATTCATTTTTGCGTGTTGTTGGTTGGGCATCTATTTTTATGTTTTATTTTTGACAAAATGATATTCTAAATGATATTTTGGAATTTGCATATGGGGTGACACCACAATGTTTATTTTTTTCCTTTGATTTACTGTGTCCTATGTAATGCAAATCCTCCCTTTTTCAATCCTAAAATAGAAGTTTTTCTTTAATAATATATATTTAGCAGATTTACTGTGTCCCATGTAACGCATATGTGAAAATGATCCTGTTCTTGTTTATTGATCCATCGGTGAGATTAAGAATATTGAATGTATTTTTCAGCACCAAGGATCCTATACTTGTTAGAAACCATTTCCATTCACTAATATTGCTTGGTCATACAAGTTCAGAATCCAATCACATAATTAGCAGTTAAAAGATTTAACAGGATTGTAACTAGTTCTGGCGGTCTCATCTCATGGGGAACTATTCTGCAGATGCAACGTGCCTTTTAGGACGCAAACCTCTCAAAGCTTTTAGAGTTTCCACATCAGGTATCAACCTATCCTTTTAGCTTGCATATAGCCATTGACCAAGGCTTTATAGCAAGAAGCAATATCAGGGACATTATCTTTTATCACCATTAAATCAATGACCTTCTTTGCCTTATCCATTTTGCCACGAAAACAATAATCATCAATCAGCATACTGCAAGTTATTTTGCTCAGCTCCATACCATATTTAACTTTGGCCTCAACTACTTTATGAGCCTCTTCTGGCATCCCTCGGAAGAGAGCATTCAAAAGTGTTATCAAAGTTATGATATCAGGTAAGACTCCCTGAACTACCATTTCATCAAACACCCTTGTGGCTTCAGCCCATTGATCTGTACGGCAGATGCCATAAATTAGAGAGTTGTAAGTGAAAATTTCAAGCCTCATACCTCTTTGGGACATTAACTCCAACACGGAGAGCGCTTCCTCGGTCCGTCTCTCCTTGCAAAGAGCATGTATTACAGTGTTAAAGGTTACAACATTTGGTGCAATTCCTTCATCCAACATTCTATTAAACAACCTTGTGGCTTCTTTCCATTGCGCGGAACGGCAGAGTATATTAATTAAGGAGTTGTAGGTGACGAGATCAGGCTTTACACCTCTAAGGAACACTTCTTCCATGAGTTTAACTGCCTCTGCCGTCTTCCCTTCCTTGCACAAAGCATCCAACATAGAATTGAATGTAACAACATTAGGCAACGCTCCACAATCAATCATGTTTCTAAATAGCAGCACAGCTTCTTCCAACTTACCAGACTTGCATGAAGCACCAATTAAGGAATTGAAAGTGAAAACATCAGGCTTTATGCCTTTGTTTTTCATTATTTCAAACAGAGCAAGTGCTCGTGTCCAAAGATCCATGTTGCATAATCCATAAATTAATGAAGAGTAATTGATGATATTTGGTGCAACACTTTTGTTGATCATATCTCGAAATAGGGTCAGCGCCGCCTCATCTATTCGTTTTTCTTTGCATAAGCTGTCAATGATTGGATTATAGCATTGAGGGACAGGCTTAAACCTTCCATCTTCATACATTTGCTCGAGTATCTCAAGCGCCATACATGTTTTCCCATCTCTGCACAATCCATTAATTATAGTAGCGTAAGTGATTTCACTGCATGCTAATCCTTTCTCTTCTATTTTCCGGAGTAACTCCATTGCCTCAGAGAGCGACCTGTACTTGCAAATCCCATGAAGCAAAGCATTGGGCTGAAGACCATGTTTAAGGATAGTTGCTAAAACAGAGAAACCCAAGTCCACCCGATTCATACGGCACAAGCAATTGATAACAACACTCAGTGTACTGACTTCCGGGTGTAAGCCAACACAAGCCAGCATCTGTTTATACATAGAAACTACAGTGGAACACTGATTCATCTTGGAGAGTGCCCCAAGCAAATGATCAAGAGCCCAAATCGAGGGAATGGGTTTCATTTGAATTACGGAATCGAAGTGACCCAGTTCTTCATCTAACCCAAGATTACCAGATTTACAACGCATTTTTACAAGATCCTCAAAATCAATGGTTTCCTAAACACTAACAGTATGACAGCGATTGACAGCAAAAGAGCAAAACTGGCTTCTGAAAAAGACGAGCCCAAACAGAGAATAGAGAGAAGAAGGATTACCCTTTTGGAGAACCGTGAGCCCTGGAACTCCTTTGGCCATAACTTTCGTCATCATCGACCAGCTCCTAAGGCAGAGCAAGCAATTCACGATTTTTTTTGGTCGAAAGGAATGAAATTTGATTGCCAAAACAAAGATACAAGGAACCCAAATACGAAAAAACAGAAGGACCAAAAAAAAACAAGGGCCCAAACATGACAAAACAAAACTCAACCTAAAATACCAAAATACGAGGTCCAAAACAACAAAAGCCCACAAAATACAAAAACTCCATCCAAAACAACAAAAGCCCACAAAATACAAAAACTCCAACAGCTAACCTTAAACAAAACAAGCCGCCGTCGCAACCACAAAAAAAACCTGCTGCCGCCGCAAGAAGAGTTGGTGAGAGGGTTTAGTTGCTTCAATTTTAGGGAAGGCCTTTCATTTTCCGTTGGTTCATCCATTTTTGCCTGCTGTTGGTTGGGCATCTATTTTTATGTTTTATTTTGGACAAAGTGATATTTGAAATTATATTTTGGAATTTGCATTATGGTATGACACCACAATGAAAAAGTGGGTCAAACTCTCATCCTTCCCCAAGTGACAATATTAAATCGAAACTCATGTCTCTTCCAAAGTCATGTATAAAGACTGAGTTATTTAATTACCCAGTGGATTGCAAACCTTGACTGGTAAAAAAAGAACATGTTGATTCATACACAACAAGGGTGAGGAGAAAGACTTCCCCGAAATGGTGATTAGATTTTAGTTGTGCCACATCAACCAAGCAACCAATTTTTCAGTAGTTGTAAGTTGAAGGAATATTGGTGCATTTTGCCGAGAAGAATTTCAAAATTTGTAATTGTACTCAAAATTATTGGGAATATCTTGGAGCCCAAAACATGAAAAAAGTTCAATTTATTTTCAGAAAAAGCTTGAAGGAATTGCAAATGACATATAATTCTAAAATGATGGAATTTAGATTTTCG